GCGTGTGGGTGTGCAGTGTGTGTGTGTGCACGTGTGGGTGTGCAGTGTGTGCGCACGTGCACATGTGCACATGTGTTCAGATAGCTCTGGTCTGACTTTCTCATGAAGAGAAAACATGGCGGCCATTATCAGTTCCCAGTGAGGCCAAATTCCCGATGTTATATAAGCCTTAATACGAGGACAAAGAGCCCCAGGGGTGCAACGATTAAGCACTTGGCTGCTAACCGAAAGGTCAGTAGTTTGAACCCACCCAGCAGCTCTGCGGGGGAAAGGCCTGGCAATCTGCTCCTGTAAAGATTTCAGCGTAGAGAACCCTGTGGGGCAGTTCTGCTCTGTCCAATGGGGTCGCTGTGAGTTGGAATCGACACAGCAGCACCCAGCAATAGCAGCCCTGTCTTCTAGCTGATGTCTGCTCCTCTGACGAGCCAGAAATGCTTAGAGCAACCACTGCTGCCCTAAGAAGGGATTCCCCTCTCGTCCCACTCAGGGTGAGCACGCGCCCGACACCCACATCGAGCGGTCATTCCGAGTGACCGCCCTGTGCTGGCACCCTATGCGGCTGGTCCTGGCCGTCGGTTGGGAGACGGGGGAGGTGATCATGTTCAACAAGCAGGACAAGGAGCAGCACGCCGTGCCCCCGACGCACACTGCTGAGATCACCGTCCTCACCTGGAGCATCAACGGCAACTGCCTGCTCTCCGGGGACAGGGTGAGCAGACCGCTTGCTGCCGCTGCTGGGGGCGGTGGTGGCCTATGACAGGTTCTGTTTTGTTGTGGTGAAACGTATATATAACCAAAAAATGCCACTTTAACCATTTTGAAGTGTACACTTCAGTGACATTGATTACATTCACTGTATTCTGCAAACACCACCACTGTCTACTTCCAAGGTTTTTCCTCCCCTCGCAGAAACGCAGTACCCCTTCGGCAGGCACTCCCCGCCCCACCCCAGCCCTGGCAACCACCGATGTGCCTTCTGTCTCTCTGCGTTCACCTGTTCTAGATGTTCCATATGAGTGGGATCATGCAATCTTTGTGGGTTTGTGTCTGGATAGTCCATATAAGTGGGGTCATGCAATCTTTGTGGGTTTGGGTGTGGATATTCCACGTAAGTGGGATCATGCAATCTTTGTGGGTTTGTGTCTAGATACTCCATGTAAGTGGGATCATGCAATCTTTGTGGGTTTGTGTCTGGATATTCCACATAAGTGAGATCATACAATCTTTGTGGGTTTGTGTCTAGATACTCCATGTAAGTGGGGTCATGCAATCTTTGTGGGTTTGGGTCTGGATATTCCATATAAGTGAGATCATGCAATCTTTGTGGATTTGTGTCTAGATACTCCACATAAGTGGGATCATGCAATCTTTTTGGGTTTGGGTCTGGATAGTCCACGTAAGTGGGATCATGCAATCTTTGTGGGTTTGGGTCTGGATATTCCACGTAAGTGAAATCATCCAATCTTTGTGGGTTTGGGTCTGGATATTCCATGTAAGTGGGATCATGCAATCTTTGTGGGTTTGGGTCTGGATATTCCACGTAAGTGAGATCATGCAATCTTTGTGGGTTTGTGTCTAGATACTCCACATAAGTGGGATCATGCAGTCTTTGTGGGTTTGGGTCTGGATATTCCAAGTAAGTGGGATCATGCAATCTTTGTGGGTTTGGGTCTGGCTTCTTTCAGTCAGCACCATGTCTCCAGGATTCCCCCATGTCATAATGTGTATGAGAACTTCATTTCTCTTGATGGCTGATTAGTCATTGTCTTAGTTGCCCAGTGCTGCTGTAACAGAACTGCCACAAGTGGGTGGCTTTAACAAGTAGAAATTTATTTTCTCACAGTTTATGAGGCTAGAAATCTGAATTCAGGGCACTGGATCTAGGGGAAGGCTCTCTCTCTCTCTTTCTCCTTTGGCTCTGGGGGAAAATCCTTGTCTCTTCAGCTTCTGTCTCTTGGCTCCTTGGCAGTCTCCCATGGCATCTGTTTTCCCCCATCTGTGCTTGCTTTCTCTGCTCTTTTATGTCTCCAAGAAACTGACTTAAGACGCACACGACACTAATACTGTCTCATTAACATAACAAGGAAAACCCACTCCCAGATGGGATTCTAACCACAGGTATGGGGGGATTTACAACACATATTTTTGGGGGACACAGTTGAATCCATGAGAGTCATAAGCAGACTTGACACTGATTACAAACCTCTGCATTCCCGTGGCTGTGCGCTGATGGACACAAATTGGGAAGCATGTTGAAGACCAAATCACGTGAGCTGTGTATCTGCCAAATTCAATTGATCTTATCAGATATAATTACAGACTTTGTTGTATATTAGAACCAGGGTTTGAAAATTTCATTCTAAAGTGTCACTCTGCGGCAAAGGTATGTCTGTCATTTTTAAATGAGCTTCACTAGGAAACTGCATTCCTCCAGGCGGGGCAAGTGCCTCAGGTACCATCACATGCACGGCACTCCAAGTCGCCAGTGCCCGCGAGCCATCTCCCTCCTTCCCTAGCAGTTCCCTAGCCCTGCTCGTCCAGCTCCGGGGCTCTCACTACTGAGATAAATAAATGATTGAAGAAGTAAATAAACGGGGGAAAGAGACAGATGTCCTTGCAGAAGAATTCCAAATGATCTATGGAGACACCTTGTCCTTTGTCTTTATGTGTGGACTGCATGTGGTGACTCCCTCCAAGGAGCACAGAAAGAAAGAGGGGCAACTTTACTGTGGGGGTCAAGTCAGCGTCAGCAGTGATAGGTCATGCTGAGAACACGCGGCCCTGACATGACAAGCTGAGAAGGGCACTGCAGCCCTGTGGTCCTCCTCGCCAGAAATTCATCGCTCTGGCCTCCTCATGACAGACCCCAACAGGGGGTCATTCCACACAACACCTGACTGGCGCTTCTCACAGCTGTGCCCGTCGCAAAGGACAAGGCAAGGACAAGAAACTGCCAGAGCTGCAGGGAGTCTCAGGAGACACGTCGATCCCAAAACAGAAAGGGGACATTAGGGGAAATAGAAAGTCTGGGTAAAGTATGGCTGCTAGCTGATAAAGACATCCCAATATGGGTTCACTCACATAACAGTTGCATGACGCTCATGTCAGGAGTTAGTAACAGGAGAAACGGGTGCTGCGTGGAGCTCTATTCACAGCTCTTCTGCAAATCAGAACCTATTGGAAAACTGAAATGTTACTTAATACAATGGACATATAGTGCCGGTATCTCTAGGGAGCAAGGATGTGGAGAGGCACGGGGAGGACTTTGCAGTTCTGACTAAACACTTTTGAGTTGCTTAAGTTTTTCACTGAGCAGGTAGTTTTGTAGGTTAAAAAAAGGAATAAGCCCATGATGTCTTGCACAGCGTAATGTGTGGCTTCCACCAAACACTTGCTGTTGGATGTTTCCAGCTTGGTGCTCTGCTGTTGTGGCGGCTGGACCAAAGAGGCCGGGTACAAGGGACGCCCTTGCTGAAACTCGAGTACGGAAAACACCTAACACACTGCATCTTCCGGCTCCCCCCTCCCGGCGAGTAAGTGTTGTTGTTGGGTGCCGTCAAGTCGATTTCCGACTCATGGCACCCCCGTGTGACAGAGTAGAATGGCCCCATAGGATTTCAAGACTGTAATCTTTACAGGAGCAGATTACCAGGTCTTTCTCCCGTGGAATCACTGGGGAGGGTTTGAACTGCCAACTTTCAGTTAGGAGTCGAGCACTTAACTGTTTGCACCACCACGGCTCCTTTTTGAATAGCTCTGTTATTGTTATTGTTGCTGTGTGCCGTCAGGTCAGTTCCAACTCACAGCGATCACATATGACAGTAGAACTGCCCCAGAGGGTTTTCTAGGCTGTAATCTTTACAGATCAGATGGCCAAGTCTTTCTCCTTCGGAGCTGCTGGGTGGGTTCGAACCGCCAACCTTTTGGTTAGCACCCAAGTACTTAACCATTATGCCACCAGGGCTCCTTAAGTAAGTAGGAGGTTCCAGTGGCAACTGTGTGTGTGTTTACATGCTCACTGGGGCCAGGGGTGCTGGAGGCAGAGACGTGGTTTATCGGGACCCAGGGAAAGTCATAGCCCTGGCAGAGGTGATGCAGCCAGTCTGTAGTGACAGCATCTTCCTCCATGGGGGTGGAGGGTCCATCACACCACATGCCATTGTTGCTTTCAGGGACCTCGTGCAGTTGGCAAAGGCCGCTGTGAGTGGTGACGAGAAGGCGCTGGACATGTTCAACTGGAGGAAGAGCGGCTTCGGAAGCTTCCTGAAGATGGGACCTCAGGAGGGGCTGTCGTTCTTTGTCAGCTTGATGGATGGTAAGAAACCTACATCATGGTTACAGGGCATTGTCTTAGTTATCTAGTGCTGTGGTAACAGAAGTACCACGAGTGGGTGGTTTTAACAAACAGAAATTTATTCTCTCACAGTCTACGAGGCTAGAAGTCCCAATTCAGGGTGCTAGCTCTAAGGGAAGGCTTTTTCTCTGTGTCAGCTCTGGGGGAAGGTCCTTGTCATCAATATTCCCTTGGTCTAGGAGCTTCTCAGCTCGGGGACCCCAGGTCCAAAGGACGTGCTCCGCTCCCGTTTCTTCTTTCTTGGTGGTAGGAAGTCCCTCCCTCTCTGCTTGCTTCTCTCTCCTTTTATCTCTTGTAAGATAAAAGGTGATGCAGGCCACACCCCAGGGAAACTCTGCTTACATCATATCAGGGCTGTAACATGAGTAGGGGTGTTGCATCCCACCCTAATTCTCTTTAACATAACCTAGTCTTGCCTCATTAACCACAGGGAGAGATTAAGATTTACAATACATAGGACAATTAGATCACAAAATGGAGGATAATCATACAATACTGGGAATCATGGCCTAGCCAAGTTGACACACATTTTTGGGGGACACAGTTTAATCCATAACATTCTACCCTTTGGCCTCCCAAAATTCATGTCCTTGCCACGTGTAAAATACATTCACCCCATCATATCATCCCAAAAGTCTTAACTCCAAGTCCGCATTCTATCCTGGGGCAAAATTCCTCTTCATCTGTGAACACAAGTTATCTGCTTCTATCACAAATGGGAGAAATTGGAGGGAAAAAAGGAATAACAGGCCCCAAGCAAGTCAGCAGACCACATTACATTAGCTCTCCAGCCTTGAAAATAATCCTCTGTTCTCTGAGACCATTTAGGCAATGGCCCTGCCCCCCAGACTCTGGGTGTTGGCCACACTCTCTGGATTCTGGGTGGAAGTCCCTTGGCCCTGGGCTTTGGCTCTGCTTTCCAGGCCCACTGGGACAGCAGCTCTTCTCCCTCACGTTTGGGCAGCTCCATCCTTCTAGTCCATCTGAGTGGCGGCCCTATCCCCTCAGCCCCCGCAGGCTGAGTTCTTCTGCCCTTTGAGCATGGCAGCCCTGCCCCCTCAGCTTTGGGCAGCGGATCTGGCCACATCCCACTGGCACTCATGAAAGGCAACCCCACACTCCATAACCAAGTTGGTGAAGATCTGGCTCTTTGAAACCTAGGAGGCTGTGGCCCCACCCTTTGAAACCCCAGAGGCCGCAGCTCCACTCTTTGAGATCCCAGAGGCTATGACCCTACCCTTCGAGACCGAGGCAGCTCTGATGCCTGTGTTCCTTGTGTCTTTAGCTTCTGCATCCTGGTTCCTTGGCCTCTCAGCCCCTCGGGACTCTTGGGCCAGCCCAGTGTTTGCCCTGCTGGGGCGAGTGTTAAAGCTCTTTAGCTTTACTGATAAGTGCCTGGAGGCACCCCACTCCCAGTACCAAATTCTGTCTCAGTTGTCTAGTGCTGCTGCAGCAGAAACACCACAAGTGGATGGCTTTAACAAACAGAAATTTATTCTCTCACAGTTTGGGAGGCCAGAAGTCAAAATTCAGGGCACCAGCTCCAGGGGAAGGCTTTTTCTCTCTGTCAGTTCTGGTGGAAGGTCCTTGTCATCAATCTTCTCCTAGTCTAGGAGCTTCTCAGCACAGGGACCCTGGGTCCAAAGGACACTATCTGCTCCTAGCTCTTCTTTCTTGGTGGTATGGGGTCCCTGTCTCTCTGCTTGCTTCTCTCTCCTTTTGTCTCTTATAAGATAAGCAGTGATGCAGTTCATACCCCAGGGAAACTCTCCTTACATCAGGTTCTCCTTAGATCTCCTTAGATCAGGGCTGTGACCTGAGTAAGGATGTTGCATCCCACCCTAATCCTCTTTAACATAACCTAATCTTGCCTCATTAACTACAGGCAGAAATTAGGATTTACAACACATAGGAAAATCACATCAGATTACAAAATGGAGGACAGCCACACAATACTGGGAATCACGGCCTAGCCAAGTTGATACACATTTTTTGGGGACACAATTCAATCCATAACAGACATCAAGCATTTTAGGGATGCCTGGTAATGGGGTTAAACTAACGGATAATGTTTCAGCAAAAAATAGCAACAAGCTGCATGCATGCCGGTGTTAGAGTGATACGTTAGCTGTTGTTGTTGTTGTCGGGTGCCGTAGAGTTGATTTCAACTCATGACAACCCCGTGAACCAGAGTGTAACTGCCCCATAGGGTTTCCTAGACTGTCATCTTTATAGCAACAGATCACCAGGCCTTTCTCCTCTGGAGCAGCTAGCGAATTCACACCCCTGACCTTTCTGTTAGCCGCCGAGTACCCACCCCAGGCCTCCTTGCTAAGTTAGCTAGCTTCCTGCAGCTGTGTGTCCCGTATCCACAGAGCCACTTCACTCTGTTCTGATGGAAACAAATGGAGACTGCCTTGTCTCGGAAGGTCTGACATGGTGACTCGTTCTGTCAGCAATTGCACGTTGACCCCTCACTGTGTGGCCAGCACACAAGGCACCCCCGTTGTTTGTTCTGTAATCACCTGTTACATGCCAGGTGCTCAGCTCAGCTCCAGGAGTGCGAGGTCTTACTTTAAATGTTTTCCCAAGTAAATAAAAGTGGCCGCTCGAAATGTCATTGTTTAACGTAGGAGCCACACCGACAGGACGCCTGCTCTCGCCTGCAGGGACAGTACACTACGTGGATGAGAAGGGCAAGACGGCCCAGGTGGCATCCACGGACAGCCCCGTGCAGATGCTGTTCTACATTGAGAAGCGGGAGGCGCTGGTGGTGGTGACAGAGATGCTGCTCTTGTCTCTGTACACGGTGATGCCCGAGGGCGAGGCCGAGGAGGTCATGAAGGTGCGTGAGGGCGGATGGGCGCGTGTCCCAGGGTTGCTGCCACCAAGGTGACAAACGGGCTAAACACCACACGCGCGTGTTCTCTCGAAGTTCTGGAGGCAGAGTCCGAAATCAGGGTGTCAGCAGAGCCGTGCCTCCTCTGCAGGCTCCGGAGGAGGATCTTTCCTTGTCTCTTCCAGCTTCTGGTGGTTGCTGGCAGTCCTTGGCTTGTAGCCACATCATTCCATCTCCGTCTCCCCAATCATGTCCTGTCCACCCTGTGTGTCTCTGTATCTTGTCTCCTCTTTTATAAGGACCCCACTCAGATGGGATGGGGCCCACCCTGCTCTAGTCGGACCTCAGGTTAACTTAACTGATAACCTCTGCAAAGACCCTCTTTCCAAACAAGGTCATATTCACGGGTTCCAGGGGTTAGGACTTCAACACGGCTTGTTTGGGGACACATTCAGCCCACAGCAGCAGGGTCCAGAGGAAGCAGCATCAAGGAACTGGCTCCCTCTCCCAAAGGTGCTGTGGAGCTCAGAGGCCAGACTCACTGAACTGACTTCCCAGCCACTTCCTTGTTTGTCTCTCAGGACGGGAGACCTGTTGTCTGTTTAAGGGCAGCTAACGTTGCTCGTTGGTGTCGTCATCTGTCACGCAGCACTGGGTTTGTAAGTGAGGGAGGAGAAGAGTGTGAGACTGTCCGTGTCGCTAGACCTGTGTGGGAGTGTTGAGAGAGACTTGGCTGGGATGAGGAGGAGGGGCCGGTCTGTGGCCAGCAAGAAGCCCGACACCGGGTGTGAGACCAAGACCAGCCTCCCCCACCTCGCAGCACCCCACGCGCTGCACAACAGAAGCACGGGTGGTGTGTTACCCCACCTCTGCCCGTGCCGGCGTAGGGCACGAGGAGGCCAGTGCCATGGGAGGCCGGGCCCCAGTGATTGTCACCCAGCGCTTGTTGGTGGGGACTTCATGCGTGCTCTTTGCACGTCTGCCTCTAGCCCACACGCCACTTCAGCGTGCCTGCCGGGCGTGGCTGCAGTTACCCTGTTGGGGAAGGTGTGCTAACGTGGCTGCTGGAAAAGGACCATGACGTGTGTGGTGGTGCCCCAGGGGCCTCGGCTCGGGCAGCGTCTCCACGCGAGCACCTGCGCCCTGTCCTTGGGCGGTAGTGCGCCCTGCAGGAGGGGCTGGCGACTGGGACCTGCTGCCACCAAGGGCCCTGCTGGCCTGACCCACTGCTTCCTTGGTTTATACCTAGGGGCCCCGCTCCTGGGAGAGGCCGGCCCTTTCCCCGAGGGCGTCCTAGCCGATTAGGTCGCAGGTCTGCTTGTTTCCCCAGTGTCAGTCTGGTCACGTCTGCCCTGCAGCACGGCAGTGGAGAGCCTGACCTTGGAGTCCGACTTTGGTTCAAATCCCAGCTCAGCCTCACGGCCGGGGGTGCTGGGCAGCCGCCGTCTATTCCTGTGCGGCAGGGACGGGAGGAGCGGCCAGGGCATGGTCGTGATTCCACTTCGGAGTCGCTCTAGAAACATGCTCGCTGACCGGTGCCTGCCACATACTCTGCTCAAGGTGGCCGCCGTCACCGATGACACCGCGTGCCGTGCGCGAGGTGGCCGCCGTCACCGATGACACCGCGTGCCGTGCGCGAGGTGGCCGCCGTCACCGATGACACCGCGTGCCGTGCGCGAGGTGGCCGCCGTCACCGATGACACCGCGTGCCGTGCGCGAGGTGGCCGCCGTCACCGATGACACCGCGTGCCGTGCGCGAGGTGGCCGCCGTCACCGATGACACCGCGTGCCGTGCGCGAGGTGGCCGCCGTCACCGATGACACCGCGTGCCGTGCGCGAGGTGGCCGCCGTCACCGATGACACCGCGTGCCGTGCGCGAGGTGGCCGCCGTCACCGATGACACCGCGTGCCGTGCGCGAGGTGGCCGCCGTCACCGATGACACCGCGTGCCGTGCGCGAGGTGGCCGCTGTCACTGACGACGTTGCGTGTGAGGGCTGCAGTTTGCTCACCTGTGCGTCCTGAAGATGGTGGCGCCCCTCAGAGGTCGTGTCACCTGCACGGTGCTTCCTGCCTCAGCAGGTCCCTGAGGCGACACTCGCTGGGTCTCCCTGAGATGCAGAGACCAGAGCCCAGGCTCCAGGAATCCCAGTCTCGGTGAAAGCGCGGTGCTCCCTCTGGGTCATGTCTCCCTCCCACAGGTGAAGCTGAGTGGGAAGATGGGCCGCCGGGCTGACATCGCTCTGATCGAAGGCAGCCTGCTCGTCACGGCCACTGGGGAGACGGTGCTCAGGTGAGACCCGACTTTGCAGTCGCGCCCCTGATTGAAAGCCCTCCGGGCGTGGTCACTTTGAAGGGGACTTTTCACTCCAGTGTCACACACGTACAGAAAATGCACGTCCAGTGACCAGCTCCCAGACCAGGGGACAAAACGTTGGCGAACCCCCACGTCCCTGCCCCACCCTGCAGTTCCTGCTGGGGGCTCTCCACCCTGCCGGGCCCACCCTGTCCTGACTTCTGCCTGGTTTTCTTGAGCTGTGTGTACGTGGAATCACGTAGCGTGTTCTTCTGTGTCTGGCGGCTTTTGCTCGGTCCAGTACTGGGGGGTCTCCACGTTGCTGCACAAGGCTGGCGCCCCTTGTTGCCGTCGTGCCGTAGAGTTGCACACGAGCCGTCTCACACCAACGCTGCTCTCTCTGATTATAAGCCGGCACAGACGGGCCCCAAGGTCAGGTGGCCCTCCTCTCACTGAGGGCCAAGGGGCCACGTCTTCCCTGATGGTTGAAGTCTCATCCTCAGGGTCAACAGCACCCTCTGAGCGCAGGGACATGCCCTAACACAGCCCCCCTCTGGGCTCTTTCTTCCCTTGTAGGTTTTGGGACTTAGAACGAGGCGAGAATTACATACTGAGCCCAGAGGAGAAGTTTGGTTTTGAAAAAGGAGAGAATATAAACTGTGTCTCCTACTGCAAAGGCAAAGGTGAGCTTTCCTGGCCCGTGTAAGAGAAGTTGACAGCCTCGGACCTCGCAGCGGCTGTGGATCCATCATAGTGATGCCAGCTGTGTGAGTCGTCAGTTACACCGAGCAGGTGGCAGTAAAGCTTTGTTGCCCACATGAGGCCCTCAGATGTGGCCAGAGTGTGGCCGGCCTGAGTGTGCACATGGTCAGCTCTGGTCCCTCCTGAAGCCCCACGGAGATAGTGTGGGAAATATGCACACGCGCGTGTGTGCACATATAGATACGCGTGCACATACACGTGCACACGTGCAGATACACACGTGCACATACAGCCACACATAATGCACACGCACACGTGTACATATACACGTGCACATGCAGGTGCACACGTGTGTGCATACAGATACGTGCGTGCGCACACATACACGTGCACATACAGATGCAATCACGTGCGCACACAGGTGCACACATGTGCACACACAGGTGCACGTGTGTGCATATACACGTGCACATAAAGATGCACACGTGCACACATGCACATACAGGTGCACACATGCACACACAGGCACATACAGATGCACATACTGTGCACATACAGAGGCACGTGCGCGCACATACACAGGCACATACAGATGCACGTGCGCTCACGTGCACATACAGATGTGCACGCGCACACAGGCGCATACAGATGGACACACTGTACACATACAGATGCACACGCGCACATACACAGGCACATACAGATGCACACGCGCACACACGTGCACAAACAGATGCACGTGCTCACACACGTGCACATACAGTTGCGCGTTCGCACACACGTGCACATACAGATGCACCGGCGTGCACACACAGGCACAAAGGACAGAAAGAACAGACAGGAGATGACCCAGAGCCGATGTCCATCCAGCAGACACTTATGTAATCCCCGGGTGGGCAAATGGTTTGTACTTGACTACTAACCTAAAGGTTGGCAGTTCGAACCCACCCAGCAGCGCAACAGAAAAAAGTCCTGGTGATCTGCTTCTGTAAAGATTACAGCCTAGAAAACTAGGGAGTGCAGTTCTGTTCTGTCACATGGGGTCACCATGAGTCAGAACCAACAGCAACAGGTTTGTTTTTATTTTTGGTTGGTATGCTAGGCTGAGCACTGGTCCAGCACTGGGGAGCAGTAGAGAACAAGGCAGACAAACCCCAGCTTTCGTGGAGGACAGAGAAAAGAGCAACCCCCTACACGCGCACACACACGCACACACACACACATGGATGGAAAAAATAACAGCAGACCCCCTAAACACACACCCACACACACACCCACACTATATTGCCAGGTGACACTAAGCACCTGTGAAGAAAGGTACAGCCAGGGAGGTGGCTGGAGGTTACTGAGGGGAGAGGGCTGACATTCAGAGAGGTGGTCAGAGCAGGGAGCTTGCTGCTGTTTCAATCCCATTTTTCTTTTTTTTTTAATTGTATTTATTTTGTTGTTGTTGAGACTACGCATAGCAAAACATACCTAATTCCACAGTTTTCACGTGTAAAATTCAGTGACACTGATTACATTCTTCAAGTTGTGCAACCATTGTCACCCTCCTTTTCTGAGTTGTTCCTCCCTCATTAACATAAAGTCACTGCCCTCTAAGTTTTGTATCTAACCTTTCGAGTTGCTGTTGTCAATTTGATCTCGTATGGGTAGACCTTAAAAGAGCACCGTGCTCAAGTCAGACATTTTTTACTAGTTAAGCTAAACTATTCTTTGCTTTTAACGGGACTATTTTTGGTTTAAGGTTTAAAGATTATCTCAGGGCAATAGTTTGGGGGGCTCATCTAGCCTCCATGGCTCCAGAACATCTGGATTCCATGAGAATTTGAAATTCTCTTCTTCATTTCCCCCTTTTGGTCAGGATTCTTCTATGGTATCTTTTTTGATCCGTTTTTCACTGGGTTGGTGTGAGCTCTGTTCTCACCCATAGGTCTTCTGGCAGCTGGCACCGACAGAGGGCGCGTTGCCATGTGGCAGAAAGCCCCAGGCCCCCAGAGCAGCCGCAGGGCAGAGGGCAAGGACAGGTGGGCCCTGCAGACGCCGACCGAGCTGGAGGGGAACATCACACAGATCAAGGTACAGCCCTGTGGGAGCTTCAGCTGCCCGTTTTGTCAGTTATCCAACCTAAGACTATATAAAAATGACAGCAAGAAAGATTTCCAAAGGCCTTTTGGGTGTCAGGATTATAGAACATGACCAGATCTGTGGAGGAAGTGTAACCTTCTCGGATCTGAAGTTATAAATGCAGAGCAGAGAGTGACAAGTTTGAGTACATAAATATTTATTCAAATTGGGCAGTGAAGAACAACAAAAACTAGAACAAAAAGGGAAGTGATCTGGGTAAATATTCCCTCTGCAGGATGTGTAGGGTTAATCTCTGTAACACCACACCTTCTGGAGCCTTAGTGCACATTGTTTTCTTCATGTGAGTGCCAATGCTGGCATGCAACTTGTAGTTGATAGATACTTAATGTGCTGGCTGTGCTTTTTGGGGGGTGTTGCTTTCCCAGAAAAGCTGTTATTCTAAGCTGATGGGGTATCTTTCCCTCAGTGTTGGCTTAGAATGAAGGCCATGTGGAAAACAACTCAAATTTATAAAAAAATGTAAGAAGTGCAGTGGATAAATTGATGAAGGAGAGCACGGATAATTTACCTAAGAGTAGTTAGAATACAGGAGAAACGTGTGAAACCTCGCGCTGGAGAGAGAAATGCCCGAGAGCGGGGACGTTCTCTGTTTTCCGGTTCTATCCAGTTTACTTGTTTATGACCTTGACATTTTGGAGGGTCACAGCCATATGTTTTGTAGACTGCCTTAATCTGGGCTTGTCTGAGTTTTCCTCGTGGTCAGATCCACATGGTGCTTTTTCAGCAGGAAGACCCCAGACTGAGGCTGTGTCTTTCCCACTGGGAGGCACAAGCTGTCTGTATGTCCCGTTTCTGAGGGTGCTGGTTTAGCTGTATGGTTAAGGGGTGTCTGCCCGGCTCAGGTTCAGGGTATTCCTGCTTCCTGAGTAGTGAATTGTCTGGTGGGAAGACACTCCGAGATCATAGGCGTGTCCTGCCCTTCATCACCCTGTCCCCTCTGGTTTTAGCAAACACGGATGCTTCTTCTTTGGAACAGTCATTCTGTGGTGGCCACTGGAAGGACAGCAAGGCTTTTCAGCAGACCTGAGTCGGACTTCCCACCAGGTCGCCGCTGTCTGCCAAAGGGCAGGACTCAATCCTTTTAGGGCTGAGTTTCCCCATCTGTGAAATGGGCCAACAAGAATGTAAATGCTCGATTACTAACCTAAAGGTTGGGGATTCACACACACCCAGAGTTGCCTCAGAAGAAAGGCCTGGCAGTCTGCTTCCAAAAGGTCACAGCCTTGAACACCCTGTGGAACACAGTTCTGCTCTGCGCGCATAGCGTCACCACAGGTCGGAATGGATCTGGTGGCAACTGGTTTTTATGTCTCGCTTTCCTCACCTGTGAAATGGGCCAGCAGGAACGTCTCCCACGTAGGCTGTTGTGAGGGTCCAGGGAGAACATAGGTGTTGATCATTAACCCCCTTCCTGACCTTTGCTGGGGCTCACTGGGTGTTGGTGGTTGTGACTGCACAGTGTGATCATCCGAGGCCCCGGACACGGGTTCAGTGACGAGGAAAGAGACCAGACAGATGTTGTTGTCGGTGCCGTCAGGTTGATTCCGACTCCTGGCGACCCCGTGCGTCACAGAGTCGAGCTGACCCACAGGGCTTTCTGGCCTGTAATCTTTAGAAGCAGATTGCCAGTTCTTTCTCCCACGGAGTTGCTGGGGGGTTTGAACTGCTGACCTTTCGGTTAGCAGCCGAGCACTTAACCGTTGAGCCACCAGGAATCCTTCTGTAAGTTTTCCTAGAGGAAACAGTGGTATCTGCATGGCAGCACTTTGTGACTGGGGTGATGGTCCTGATGTCTGATACCTGGTACAGAACGGGCACTGGGCGTCAGCTCAGACCCGGCCAGTCAGAACAGACCTCACCTGGAGGAGCGCCTAGGGTTCTGCCCGCTGATCACAGTGCTGAGGATCAGTGTGTTTTTTTATTGTGCTCTAGATGAAGGTTTACAGAGCAAACTAGTTTCTCATTGAACACTTAATACACATATTGTTTTGTGACATTGGTTGTCAACTGCACGATGTGTCAACACTCTCCCTTCTCAACCTAGGGTTCCCCATTTACCAGCTTTCCTGTCCCCTCCTGCCTTTTCATCCTCGCCCCTGGGCTGGGGTGCCTCTTTAGTCTTGTTTTGTTTTATGGGCCTGTCTAGTCTTTGGCTGCAGGGTGAACCTCAGGAGTGACTTCAGTACTGAGCTATAGGGGTGTCCAGGGGCCATACTCTTGGGGTTTCTTCAGTCTCTGTCAGAACAGTAAGTCTAGTCTTTTTGTGGGTTAGAATTTTGTTCTGCAGTTTTCTCCTGCTCTGTCTGGGACCCTCTGTTGTGATCCCTGTCAGAGCAGTCGGTGGTGGTAGCCGGGCACCACCTAGCTGTGCTGGACTCAGTCTGGTGGAGGCCGTGGTAGTTGTGGTCCATTAGTCCTTTGAAATGATCTTTCCCTTGTGTCTTTGGTTTTGTTTTTTCTCCTTTGCTCCAGGTGGTTGGGACCAATTGATGCACCTTAGATAGCCACTTGCTAGCTTTTAAGAGGGTCTGGTCTTTTTTGTGAGTTAGAATTTTCTTCTACATTTTTCTCCTGCTCTGTCTGGGACCCTCTGTTGTGATCCCTGTCAGAGCAGTTGATGGTGGTAGCCGGGCACCACCTAGCTGTGCTGGACTCAGTCTGGTGGAGGCTGTGGTAGTTGTGGTCTGTTAGTCCTTTGGGCTAATGTTTCCCTTGTGTCTTTGGTCTTTTTCATTCTCCCTTGCTCCAGACGGGGTGGGACCAGTGGAGTACCTTAGATGGCTGCTCACAGGCTTTTAGGACCCCAGAGTCTTTTCTGTTTATTGTGGTGAATTAGGTACAAATTTTGCCATTTTAATCATTTTTAAGTATATAATTTAGTGCATTATTTACGCTCACAATGTTGCGTAACTGCCACCACTATCTAGTTCCAGAACGCTTTCGTCCCCCAAACAGAACTCCTCTTCCCACCAATAACGCCCTGCTCCCCTCGCCCCCCACCGCCCCGGTGACCTCTGTCTGCTGTCTGTCTCGACGCGTTTGCCTGTTCTGGATAGTTCACGTGAGTGGGATCACACAACGCCCGTCCCTTTGTGTCTTATTCCGCTAGCATCACCTCGTCAGGGTTCGCCCACACTGTAGCGTGTAGCAGAACTTCTTCTCCCGATGGCTGAGTAAGACTGCCCTGTGTGGACGGACCACATCGCGTTGGTCCTCACCTGTGCTGGACGCTTGGGTGGTGTTCCCTTCTGGCTGTCACGGACAGTGCTGCAGGGAGTGTTTGTGGACACGTGTCTGTTTGAGTCCCTGCTGTCCAGTCTCCCGGGCGTATGCCCAGGAGTGGAATTGCTGGGGCAGATGGTAGTTCTCTGTTGAACGTGCTCAGGAACCTGAGTAGCAGTATTGTTTAAATTTTGTACCGTGTGCATGTTTCATCTTTCTAAAAAAAATTTAAAAACCATTCTTTAAACAAGAAGGCAGCGCTGCGTGCCCTCGTGTTTGTGGACGTGGCTTTGACCTCCCCTGTGTGCCCCCCGCCCCCGCAGTGGGGCTCCAGGAAGGGGCTGCTGGCGGCGAGCAGCGGGAGCGCTGTGGTGATCCTCAGGGAGCAGGCCATGGCCGCCCACTTCCACCAGCAGGTGGCAGCAGCGCAGCTGTCGTCCAACCTGCTGCACGTGGCCTTCCTGGCGGCCGGCACGACCTACAGCCTGCGCACGGACATGCACGTCAGTGGCGTGTTCGCCACCAAGGTGACTCGGGGCTGAGGGGCGGGGGTGGGGGGGCCTCCACGTGCATGATGTCACTGGGGGCTGGTGGCTGGGGTGACTGGGGACAACCCATAGCTTGGATGCAGGCTGGTCCACATGTGACTTCATCCTCACGGCTTTCCTTGCCGACTCGCCTGTGAGCCAGAGCCATAAAGAAAGCAATAATGAAGCTCAGGGCGTTCACACACGTGAAAATCAGGCTCAGTCGTCCCTCCGAGGTTGGCGAGCTGAGGTTGGGGGACCGAGGGCGAGTTCCGGGATGTTTAAGGAGGAGAGCAGGGGACGCAGGAATGTGGAGTGGACCTGCGTCCGTGCCCCACATTCCCCTGATGTCGCTTTTTGACCTCTGTCTTCCCTTCAGGACGCCGTCGCCGTCTGGAACGGGAAGCAGGTGGTGATCTTCGAGCCTTCGGGAGCCACGTTGCGAAACGCGGGTAAGAGTCTGTCTACTCCAGCAGAGGGGACGCGGGCTCCCTGCAGGGCTTGCCTGTCCCTCGAGTCCTTCCCTCACTTTATGCCTGGAGTTCTCACGTCCCTCATGTTCTGCCACGTGTCCTCCTAATAATTCACACGTCCCTCCCTCCTGCTAGCGCAGACGCATGCCCTCAGGGCTGGGGTGTTCCCTCACTTTGTGGCATTGAATAAAGAGGAGACCCCACGAATGGGGGGCAGGCAGGGATCCCAGGGCCTGCGTGAGTGCCCACTGCTGGTTGTGGCCTTGGGGAGTCCCCGCGTCTCGGGTCACACTTCCCCACCTGCGCGATGCCGCTGATGTCACCTTCGTGGAGCTGTAGGGGCTAGGCCCGTCAGGAGGGAGAACACTGGCCGGGCTGGGAGCCAGGTGAGCAGCCGCTGCCACCGTCACAACGTCCACCTTCCATTCCAGGGACCTTCCCGTGTGAGTCCCCGGTGCTGGCGATGCACGAGGAGAGCGTCTACACCGTGGAGCCACACCGGGTCCAAGTGCGAACCTGGCAGGTAAGGCACAGGCCGAGGGCGTGTGGCTGTGGTGGCTGAGCTGAGCTTAAAATGCCACCTCCAAATGTAGCCACAACCTGTCTGTGGACCCCACGGGCTAGACCCGACCTACCGCTGGGGTCACTGTAAAAACGGGTCCAGAGGCAGCCAGGGCGGCGCTCTGTCTCTGTGACAGTGTCTCCCAGAATCCCACTCGAGTGTCCATTACCTTAGAGCCAGCTGTGTGGCGCCTCTCTGCTTGGCCTCAGAGGTATGGCTGCTTTCACCTGTCAGACATCCTGCTCCCTCAAAACCCTGCTTCTCAAACGTGTGTGGTCAGCAGGCGTTCACAGGGCAGCCGCTCCTGGGACTCTGCCCCACCTGGGGCCGGTGGGGCCTCAGCTGCAGCCGAGGGCTCAGTGGCTGGAGAGAGGCGAGGCTTGGGCAGCGACGAGGCGCCGTTGCCAGCCTTGCTCACACAGGGGAGGTGGGAGGAGATGATCGCCAGGTCCAACATGCATCCTGGGGCCAAGCAGCGAGTGGGGGCTGCCAGAGAAGGAAGCCTGTGTTTGGACTGGCCACGCCCCGCGTGCGCAGGAGAGCAAGGCCAGGATGGAGGCGTCCCCCCACATAGTACAGATGGCAGGTAGGAAAGGGTGTAAGAGACTATCTGAACAGCGTTTACTGTTGTTGTTGGGTGCGGTGGAGTCGATGCTGACTCATAGCGACCCCGTGTGACCGAGCAGAACTGCCCCGTAGGGTTTCCGAGGCTGTAATCTTTACGAGAGCAGATGGCCAGGTCTTTGTCAGAGCCACTGGGCAGGTTCAAACCACCACCTTTTCAGTTAGCAGCCAGGTGTTTAACCGTGGTGCCACTAGGGCTCCTGCACAGTGAAGTGCCACAGAAGCAGCGTTCCTGAGTGCCCTGTCCTTCTCCCCAGGGGACTGTCAAGCAGCTGCTGCCCTTCTCCGAGACTGAGGGCAGCCCCTGCCTCCTGGACACCTGTGGGAGCTTCCTGGTGGTCGGCACAGACCTGGCGCACTTCAAAAGCTTCGAGCTTTCTCGAAGGTACAACTCCTGTCTGAGTAAAGGTAGTGAGTTTTGGAAATTGACAGGAGATAGTGTGGTGGGTGGGGAGAAGCCAGGGGTCTCCACTTAACGTCCCACCTTGATCTGAGAAAGGCTCCAGAGCCACCCAGTGCAGGGGACGGTCTTTCTAGGACATTAGGTGAGATCTGCGGAGTCTGAATGAAGCATTTTAAGCAATCCCAGTGGGCCACCTCTGATTGTTAGCTGCCGTTGAGTCGGCCCTGACACCTGGCGGCCCCACCTGTGCAGAGTGCAGCTGCTCTACAGGGTTTTCAAGGCTGTGACCTTTTGGAAGCAGGTCACCAGGCCTGTCTTCCGAGGCGGCTCTGGGTGGGTTTGAACCACCAGCCCTTAAGGCTGGTAGTCAGGCGCTGAACTGTTTGCACCACCCGGGGACTCCTTGAGCTGCCACTAAACACCCAGCATTTCTGTGTCAGCAACAAGCTGGAAACAGCTGGACAGCGAGCTGCCACTAAACACCCAGCATTTCTATGTCAGCAACAAGCTGGAAGCAGCTAGACAGCACTGGCAGGGGACTGGTTAATAAAGTACAGCTTCTCCGCCCAGCGGAAAGCCGCGCACGGCCCAGCGCAGGGATCCCCGTCCTGGTGTGGAAGATCCCAGCTCGTACTGCGCAGTGTGTGTGACATGTACTTTTCATGTAAAAAGATGAAGGGGGATAAGAACACATTCATATTTGCTCACAAACATATTTGAGTTTTAATATCTCCCCCGTGTTCTGAGTTTGGCCTGCGCCGTGGTCCACACGTAACACGCGGCGTCAAAAGCCCCCGACGTGTCGGTGGAACGTGTCTGTGCAGGGAGGCTTAGGGTTTTTAGGGCACGGGTCCTCGCCCGTGACCTGTCTGCAGGCAGTGAGCGGCCAGCACCCAGGGGACACGGCACCCTGCCTCACTGACCTCCTTTCTCCTCCACAGAGAGGCCAAAGTGCACTGTAACTGCAAGAACCTGGCCGAGCTGGTCCCCGGCGTCGGGGGCATCGCCTCGCTGCGCTGTAATGCCAGCGGGAACAGAATCAGCCTCCTCCTCACTAAGGTGAGTGCCAGGCAGATGCACCCTGCGAGGGGGAGACCCAGCCGGCCGCGGAAGGGCAGGCGTGCACACGCAGGAGGGCCGGCCATCCCCTCCTTGCCCTGGCTGCTCATGCATCACCCTGGCTTCCGACCTGCTGTCGTGGCTGCTAACCGAAAGGTTGGCGGTTTGAGTCCACCCAGAGGCGCCTTGGAAGAAAGGCCTGGCAATCGATGTCAGAAACATCAGCCACTGAAACGCTGTGGAGCACACGGTTCTACTCCGACACACGGGGGGGCGCCACTGGAGTCAGCGCAGTGGCAGCTGGTTTGGGTTTTTAAAGAAACAAGCTTAACAGCACTTTTGAGGTCACCCCCATTTCCCCTCCCAGCCCTGCTGACCGCCGAGCTGCTTCCTGTGCCTTCTGGGGATTTCCCGTCACCTGGACCACACACTACACGTCCCTTTGTGTCTGACTTCTTTCACTCAGCATCCCACTTTTTAGAATCTTTTAATTTTCTGAAATTATAAACTAGTGGTTCAACAGCTGTTTTTGTGGGATGAAGGGCAGCTGACACTCACATTTGCCTTCCAAGAGAAGGTAAACCCTGAGAGCCGAGCGGCCCGTGTGCATCCGTGACACCAGGGCGTGGGTCTCTGGACTGTGGCGGGCAGTGGCCCTGAGTCCAGCCCTGGGACTAGAGTCTGGGCGGCCGGTAAGCTCCCCCTGTCTCTCCCCCAGGCCGACAGCAGCCCCGACTCCAGGATCTGCTTCTACGACGTGGAGTTGGACATGGTGACCATCTTCGACTTTAGGACCGGGCAGATTGACTGGAGAGAGACATTCTCCTTTAATGGGCAAGAGACCAGGAAGTGAGACTGGGCTGTGGGCTTTGTTGTTGGGGATAAAAGGCTAGAAATGGTAGACAGTTATTTCTCAACTTCCGGGCAGGTTGTTGCCAAACCACGCGCCTAACGTCAGACCTCCTCTGCAGCTTAGCTGTTGTTGTCAGGTGCTGTCGAGCCGGCTCCAACCCGTAGCGACCCCGTGTACAGCAGGACCAAACACTGCCCTTCCCGCGCCGTCCTCACAGTTGTCGCTATGCTTGAGCCCCTTGTTGCAGCCACCGTCGGTAGTAAAAACAAAAACAGAAAACAGAAACACACTTGGGCAGTTGGGAGAGATGTGAGTCTTTAATCTCCGCTTTCCAGATTTTCAATAAGGTTTGGAATTAACTTAGCGGACACTTGAGCTTCTGAAGGGAGGACTGTGTTAACGTGTATGCAGACATGGCCCTCGAGCCCCCAGAGGAAAGTAACAGGCGGCTCAGATCCATCCGCGCGTCCAGGTCAGGAGCGCCCTTGTCTTCTTAGATGATGTATTCCCAGAAAAAAGTATTCTTTCTTCAGCGGGTTGATGTAACATATGTTTAAAGCTCATCCTGCTGCTAAGAAAATATTCATAGGAATTTAAGTGCTTGTAACGTTGATTTATGGTTTGCATTTGATTTCGCATGAAATAATGCACAACAGCAAAGCAGGCCGTGGTCAGAAGGACACGGGTTGGGTCTGTCCCCGGTCATTGAAGAAAGGGTGTCAGTGGTGTTCAGAGGGGGCCTACACACAGCAAAGCAGGCTCAAAGGAGAAGCGCAGGAAAGGGGGCTGCTGGGCTAGCAGCAGCCATTCACGGGAAAGCGGTGGTTTTTAAAATGTTGGGTCCAGCAGCTGTTTTTCTGTCTGTTTTTCTCACTCCGTCACTGTCACCACTGTTGGCAGCTCCTCCTTCCCAACAGGCTTCCCGCTGGCCGTGCCTTACAGCACCCCCCAGCCCCCTTCCTCCTCAGAGCCCCGTCCAGGCCCCCCTTCCACGGGGACGGGGCTGTCCCTCGTCTCTCCCATGACTCCCAGCTGTATGCTTTAGTCTCCACTTCCCACCCAACTTGGCCCCAGTTCTCTCTCCTCAAAATGCAGCCCCTTGCATCCCTCGCCATCACCTCAGAAACCCACCCTCACCAGCCTCACCCCCGAGCTCCCTTGGCAGCTGGGTCCAGAGCCCCGGAACTGACTTTCCCCGTGATCCCACCTCTGTGGCCCCAGCCCCTACCCCTGCTCTTGTCCTGAGATGTCTGTGGATCTGTGCAGGGCCCCCGTTCACGGGCCGCCATGGCCTCCGCGGCTCTCACGCCCCTCCTCACCCTGTTCCCCTTCCTGCGCGTCTGGCAGCAGAAGCCCCTGCCCGTGGTCCAGGCACCCAGAGGTGCACCACATGCCCCTTTTCATCTAAAATTCTGCGCCGGTTGTATCTGGGCAGGGCACGGCCACGCGGGCACTTGCTGTGTCAATGAAGGAACATCTGTGAGGATCTCCCTTCCTGGGGGCGGGTCCTCATCCTCCACTGCCATTGAGAGCCCATGTGGCCACAGCGGCACCCCTGTCCCATGCCAGCCGTGCCCGTCTCTGAGTGCTGACCCGCCTTGACCCCAGACTCGCTGTCTCCTGACAGCACCTCACAGGGCTCTGAGTTCTAGGCCACAGACACAAAGCTTTAGAGACAGATGTGCAGTGCCACACGGGGACGCTGCTGGGACCGGAGCTGTGTCCCCAGACGGCTGGGGGTAGGGCTGCTGGTCCAGGGCTCAGGGCGGCTTTGAGCTTCAGGGACTGCCCGCTGGTCCCAGTTGCTGAAAGCATCGCACACCGACCTCTGGCTGACCAGGCCGTGCCGGAACGCTTCCTGCCAGCTTCCAAGACCCGAGGGCAGGGCATGTTCAGACGGCCACTGCCTGTGTGTGCTTGGAGCAGACCTAGACATCACTTCCCCACTGAGAGTGTCCCAGGGCCTGTAACACCCTCAGGAAGTATGTCTTTGTCTTTCAGGAGCAGCGTCTTTGCCGATGAGAGCCTGACGTTCCATGTCCCCGTGAGCCACTTCTGGGACCAGACTGAGCCACGGCTGTTTGTGTGTGAGGCCGTCCCTGAGGCACCTGGGGCCCAGCCGCTGGCCACGGAGAGACAGCCCCCTACTGCTGACGACACCGGCCCCACGGTACACCTGGCCGCGCATGTGTGCGTGTGTGTGTGAGTGCACGTGTGCATGCGTGTGGGTGCAGACCTGTGTGCAAGCTGGGTGCCAGGCTCAGACCTTTGTGACGCAGTTCGCCGGAGGGTTACCCGGAAAGCGGATTCTGAAACGTTCCCATAAACTCACAGTGGGAGCTGCGAGCGTGTCTGTCCTCTCAGGCTCACTTCAGAGGTGGCCCCCCTTCCTCTGGTCTGTGCGGAAGGCTGTTGTCTGGGTTCTTCTGTTACCTCAGCTGCTACGTGTTCCTTCTCTCAGGGCTCGAACAGAGCTCGTTGTTGAGACAGTTTATGTGAACGGACCCGTTAATGTCAGCACCCCCTATGATTTCATCTCTGGGGCAGCCTGCTGTACCGGCGTTTGGTCCATGACCTTCCGTGACCTTCCGTGACCTTTTATAACCCTCATACAAGGGAGCTCCCTATTGACTCGGGAGGCAGGCACCGCCCACTCCCTGCTGCCTCGCCCGACCGCCGCCCTCACCCTGACCACCATGCTGCCCAGCTCCTGCAGGGCCTTCCAGACCGCCATGCCGACAAGCTGTCAGCCCCCAGGATCAAGCCCGGGCCCCACACCCCCTAGGAGGGTGCTCGCTGACATGCTGGGTCCTGTGTCTCGTGGGCGTCAGACGCCTGCGCCTGCATCTTGATGGCCCACCTCATTCGAAAAGGACTTTGTTACGTCAGGTCCTCAAATAAGTCGGTTGAGGACCCCCTGGAACCTCAGAGGACCTGTGTCTGCCCAAAGCGCTCTTTCCCAGGGCTGGACATGGCGGAGCCTCCTGCGGATTCGCTGGGGGCAGCGTCGACACTTGAGATTTTCAGAAGCAGATCCATCCAGCCCTTGGTTCTGAGCCTTTATGTGGTAACACGTGACGGGGTGCAGCTCTGTCATTGCCAGAGGCGCCTCCATCAGGCGGTGGATGGCACAGTGACCAACTCAATCACAAGGAGTGGAAGGAGGAGAAACACAGGTGCTGAGCGTCCTAATGTGTGGTCAGCTGCCCGCTTGTCTTTGTGAAGATGAGGGGGTGTTGTGGCCCGGCCCGTGGCGTCTGTTTCCTGTGGAGAAGGGGCTGTGCGAGTGTGCGTGGTGCGGGAGAGAACCCCCAGAAGGCTGGGTTCTCTGCTGTGCGCTCCCTGCTCCGTGAAAGCAGAGAGGAGTCGGCTGCTGTCACTGATTTAGAATCCGAGGGGAGAATCCGAGGGGACAGCTCTTCAAAGGCAAGAGCGAGCTCTGTAGAGCTTGATTCCATAGCTTGGGGCGGGGGTCAGCCTTTGCTTCAAGAAAACCAGCCTGTCAGAGGGCCCGGCAGCTCTCTGGCCCGGTGAGGGCATCCTTCCAGAAGGCTCGGCAGTCAGAAAAGACGGTTATGCCACGTGCCCTGAGGGGAGAGTGGGTCATCTGTGCCCACGTCCGTCTCTCCCTCCATCCTCTGTGTGTTGTCCGATGTCCCAGCAGGGAGATGGAAATTAGAAGCACGGTTGCAGTCACTTTGCCCCGTGGAAGCCAGCGCCCCCGTCCTTGTCTCCACAGGCGGATGGCATGGTGTTGTCCTTCTTTGTCTCCGAGGAGCACGGCCTTCTGCTGCAGGACAGCTTCTCCCGGCCAGCCGCCTTCCAGGCGCTCCTGGGCGTCGAGGTGCCCTATTTCTACTTCACGAGAAAGGTGCGATGGGGCGCTGGTGGGCTCCCACCAGCCTGGGCCGCCCGCGTGCGGGAGGGAGTTGGCACCAGGGGTTCATGAGGGCAGGGCTCCCCTCTCAGTGGTTCTCCACCTGCTTAGCTCTGTCCCCTGACGTCCCAGCAGATGCTGAGGGCTCCCGGGTGAGAAAATGAGGAGCCGTGTCCTTGCTCCTGGAAGGGACAGAGGCTGTCCTATGGGCAGCGGTGCAAGGCAAAGGGGTTCTTAAGTCTGACGGGAGGCCAGGGCCCTGTGGCCGCTCTGCCTGGCACTCTCCCCGACGCACTATGCCTTTCCGCTTTTCTCTTTCTATTCTGTCTTTTAAAAAATTACACATTTCTGTGTTCACCATAGGAAATTTAGATAGTAGAATTCAAGAACAAAGACAATACAGATCGTCATAATCCCAACCACCAGAGACGGTCCCAGGCTGGCTTCTGTGTGTGCGTTTCCAACACATGATTGTTTTAAAATTTGTGATCAAATGGGCTGATTTTCAGCGTGCGTGCATGCATACACACGCGCACGCACACATGCTGAGCAGTTTTGAATGCCTCACTTGCCTTCCCTGGGACCCTCTCCTCGTCCCCCAAGTCCCTCGAGACCTGAAATCAGAGCCTTCTCTGATCCTTAAATCTCCTGCTAACGTAAGGGTGTGTGGCCTATCTACTGGGGGACATTTGCCCTGGAGCTTTCTGAAACCAGACGGAAACGCTCCAACTGTGAGTGAGGCCTCCAGCTTCCTCGGCGATCCGTCCTTCTTAACCTGCGGAAGCCACCAGAGTCACTTGCAGCGGCTTCTCACAGGCACCCTGGCTGCTCCCCAGACCCCGAGACTCGGGCTCACAGGGTTCTGTGTCAGCCACTCTAGAGCCTCCACGAGGCCGGAGGCCATGGCCCGCATCCCTCAGAAACTGGGGCAGGGCTCACGTTTTTTCTGTGGGGTCTTTTCTCCCACAGAACATGGGAACCTCTCTCTACAGCCTCCACAAGGCCGGAGGCCATGGCCCCCATCCCTCAGAAACTGGGGCGGGGCTCACGTCTTTTCTGTGGGGTCTTTTCTCGCACAGAACGCAGGAGCCTCTCTCCTCGCGGGAGCAAACGCGCGTGTCATCTCCCCGTTTCTTTCCCCACGTTTAAGTCAGGAAGGCACGGATTATGTAGGCGTGACCTTGTCTGTTTGTTTTTTATGAGGTGACTTAAAATCAACCCTAAAAACAGGCTCTCTGTCCTTTTCTAGTTTTCTACAACTAGACTGTGTGAGTTTTGTACCCAAAGGTGCGTGGGGGTGGGGCGGGGGGACGCTTAGCCTGGGGAGGGGAGAGTTAAGCACAGAGGAGCCGAGACCGAGTGAAGTCCTGTGTGGGAACCTCTGCTTGGCCACGGAATCCAACATGATTGTACTCCGCAGACTCCGTCAGTCAAAAGCAAGGATATAAATAGGTCTCGCCCAGATTTTTCCCAGGGCTGTTATTTATTTTAAATGGATTTGCCGTAAAGGGCTTGGGGGTGTCTTATTCTCCTGGTGCTGATGTAACACAGATACCACAAGGGGGGACTTTAAAGAGCAGGAATCTATTTTCTCACAGATTCGGAGGCTAAAAATCCAAACCAGGGCCTCAAGGGTGTCAATTCCTTGTGTGTTCTTGTCCTAGCTGCTGGTGCCTGCTGGCCATCCTTGGTGTTCCTTTGCTTGTAGACAGCCCTCACAGGGCATCTGTCTTCCCCCATGTCTGTCTGTCTGTCTACTCTGCTCTTTCTACAGCTCAGGAGTGATGAGGTTTAGGACCCACTGTCCTCAGGTGTGACCTCATCAACCTAACAAAGAAAACCTCTGTTCCCAGACGGGATCACATCCACAGGCACAGGGGTTGGGATTTTAACATGTTTTGGGGAACACCATTCACTTCATGATGGGGGAGGGGGCGGTGGCTACTCCTCAATTTATGAAAATTACGTGATGAGGTGGTTCTCCAGTTCTAAGGCTCTGCTGAAACCTCACATATAACAACGTACGTGTTTCAGAACAAGGATGAGCCTGGGCACAGTTGGCTCACATTTCCCTGTGCCACCAGGTAAAACAGCTGCATGGCCATCACAGTGTGGAACGATGGGTAGGCTTTTCCTGCAGTAAAATGGACTGGTTTTTGTGAGGATTGGAGACATGTCTGTCTGATTGGCCAAATTCTGTCGAGGTAGGTCTTCTTAACTCTGTACTGCGAACGTCTTTGCACCCCGAGGTAGGTCTTCTTTTTTATTTATTTATTTATTTATTGTACTTCAGGTGGAGGCTTACAAAACAAATAGTTTCTCATGAAACAGTAGTACACTTGTTGTTTTATGACATTGGTTAACAACCCCACAACATATCAACCCTCTAACTTCTCAACCTTTTTTTCTGGTGAAAATACACATAGCCAAAGATACACCATTTCAAAAATTTCTACATGCACAGTTCAGTGACATTGACTACGCTCTTCCAATTGTGCTGTTATTCTCACTTAAGATGAAGGCTTATAGAACAAAATTGTTTCTCGTTTAACGGTTACTACAAATGTTGCCCTATGACAACGGTTAACAATCTCACAACACATCAACAATATCCTTACTCAACCTTGGGTTCCCTATCACCAGCTTCCTTGTCCCCTTCTGCCTTCTGGCCCTTGTCACTGGTCTCCTGTACCTCGTTAGTCTCATTTGGTTTTACGGGGCTGTCCACTCCCAGGCTGAACGGTGAACCTCGGAGGTGACTTCACCACTGAGCTAAAAGGGTGTCTGGGGGCCATACTCGGGGTTTCTCCAGTCTCCTTTAGGCCAGTAAATCTGGTCTTTTTCTTCGTGAGTTGGAATTATGCTGTACATCCTTCTCCAGCTCTGTCCAGAACCATCTGTTGTGATCCGAGGTAGGTCTTCTTGACTCTGTCCTGTGGACGTGTTTGCCCCCCGAGGTGGGTCTTCTTGACTCCGTCCTGTGGATGTCTTTGCCCCCTGAGGTGGGTCTTCTTGACTCCGTCCTGTGGACGTGTTTGCCCCCCGAGGTGGGTCTTCTTGACTCCGTCCTGTGGACGTGTTTGC